TTACCTGTGTGATAATCTGCCGCCTGAGGCCAGCAAGGGAGAGCGATGTCTAACTGGAGGACGCAATGGCGATCGGAATTTCAGCTTGCATTGCGAACTCGATGTAGGGTTCACACTGACAATCAATGACTTAAACCTGCCTAAATGAGAAAACATTTTAGAAGTAGTTGACCGCAGAATCGTATTTACTACCCTACTTTCAAAAATTTACTTTACCTACACACGCCTAATGATGGTCTGTGCAGTCCTAAGCATTTCTGTTGCAAGCAGCGGTGATATTCGAAAAGGATTGTCTGTTCTACCAATTATGTGTGCTCTCGTCATGGAGGAAATATTATGGGGTGTCCACAATCATCCAAACAGTTACGATTAGAAGAGCTATGCAACGTAAACTACGTGGAAAAATTGTCTGTTCACGCATGGATCATTTGGTGAACTCGAAAGCTTCATTCTCCCGTTCGGAATGTTTTTCGCAGTCTCAGAGAAGAGGAACGCTGCCTTGCCTAGAAACTAGACATGTAGGAAATGATTGCAAATATTTCACTACCCGCGCTGCATTATGACGATAGACGATAGCGTGGTAAGAGAGGATGTATATCCAATATCCTAGCAGCTTATGCTCAACTGAAACGCATTTGTCTGAAAAATAACGCTTTATTGATGAACCTCTTTGTGCATTGTTGTAACGAGCGCTTTTCCTCTCCGTCATTCAAACACACTCTCTATCTAGTCTACATTTTGTGGCAAAATTGCCCGCAGAGTCAGAGTGAGGGAGAACAGTGCAGTTGACTTCATTTTATTCCACTGGGTGATAATGGTTATGATGATCAGTTAATGATATATATATTTTTTAAACACGTATCCTAGGATGTATGCAGCAATGACATTTGGTTTGTATATGTACGGTTATGAAAAAGCTTTCCGTTTCGCCATCATAAAATCAAAAATTTGTGTTCAATAGTGATGATATACAGCTTCAAACTGGGGTAAATAACTTATAATGTGCTAAGGAAATATCAGTGCCGTTTTCAAATTTATTTGATATACAAGGAATGTTGAACGATATTCTTATACTGACCTGCTCCAAAGTACAACTTGCTAGTCAGGGCGTACTAAAACAAGGAGTCTGAAGGGTTTGAAACGAATATAAGTGTAACTTCAAATTTATCACCTTTCATCACACGTTTTCACTCATTTTGTCAATTCATGACGAGTACAGTGTTGTGTTTTATTTCGCAATATCACTGTGTACAAAACGTGACAGTAGTCGATTTGGCTTAAGTGCTGCGGGTCCGCAAAAAGGGTATCCACTTTATTGTCGAAGGGGAAGTTCAACAGCATGCGACCAAAGTTCGATACAAAGAAAATGTTGCTAGTTATACTTTAAATATCGAAAACATCACTAACCATAACTTAGGTTGACTCGGTTCTTAAACCACTGATTACGACTGAGCACAGATGGACACCGATAACACAAACGATGCTAGTACACCTGCAAAAGTGAAGTTATGAGTCGCGTTTCTATAAAGTTATACCTTTGTTTATGGCCAACACTATAATGGACCACAATGTGGTCAGTAGCAAAAACTGGATACCGTAAACCTGGCCTCCGGAGGGTCGAGGTGATGATGTCAGCGATATCACTATCGCGGACTCAAATCTGTAAGAACTAAAAGAATTGGAAACTCTCGGTTGGGTAGAAATAAGGAACTTCCAGGTGGATGTGCTACCGTTTAGCAATTCTGCAGATAAACTGATCGTACATGACAAGCTAAGTTTTAGGGCGTGACTTTGTTCTTTTCGAAAATCATTCGGCAGAATGTGATGTGCATCCTGCAGTGACAATGCACTCTTAGCAAGGGATATCGCAGTCACGCCTAGGAGACATACTACTGGTTGGGTATTTAAGAATAAATGAAACAGGTGAGTACCAAACGCGAGATACGCAAACTGTTTGACCAATGGCAAACGGAAGAACCGATGAGTATTCGCACAATACTAGGTCGAAAATTACGTGTGATGACATTGAATATTTTTCATCACGGAAAAGATAACCACCTGGTTACCGTTGACAACCATGGAGACTTTTTTCGAATTGATTTACTTATTTCCAGCACATCTGAAGAAATTATCCAGGTACCAGTTCACACCACAAGAATGCCGATTCAAGTGATCTCAGATGGTTTTGTTCAGTTTCAAAGCTTCGAGTTCCAGCAATTCATTGATCGGCGGTAGTTTGAGCAACTTGTTACTGGACCCATTGTGGTCAAGCAAATAGCATCGACCCATTGATTAATGTCCTAGTGCCACGGAATATGCCGACCGATCTGATCCGAAGTCTTCTTGATAGACGTATACGTTGTGTTCAGCCCACATGCAATGAGTTACTACAACCAACCTCAAACTGCATCATTGCATCGCTAAATCGAGAATGGAAAATCGGATGGCGATTCAGATTAGGTAGTAGAACTGAAGCATTAAGTCTCTGTGCG